GCATATTTGAAATGGCATGGTCAAGGGCTTTTCAAAAATGTATAATTTGTCATTTTTTGGACAAATTTTTTTTTGCAAACATTTTTACTATAAAACTGGATTTTGCGATAAAAAATTCAATTTTCGCAAATTTGCAAATTTTTTTGCAGATTCTAAAAGTAGAGCACAAGAGCTTTCTAATGATGTATCATTTGTCATATTTGGACATAAAACATGGGATTTAGAGGGGGGGGTCAAATTGCCCCCCCCCAGCGTATCCTGGTTTTCAAGTACCCCAGCGGGGATAGGGTTAACAGTCTGGAGAACTGGTTTAGCCATCTGGCATTAGAATGTGGGCCAGGTTTATGCTTTTCTAAGTCAGTAGAAATATTTCCACATCTGCAAACTTTTGAATGGGATATCCTTAATCCCTATCATTTAATTAATCTGGAGAATAATAACAAGAGGAGAACAAGCATTATTTAATCTCGAGATAAAGAGTTGATCTAGCATTAATCCCGATATCCAGAAATCAAAAGTTACCAGCTCAGATATAATCCCATTTGCATATGAGATAAAGATATCTCTGGTACTGTACAGAGCTTCAGTATGAAGTCATCAGGTACATTGGGGAACTGTTCGTTTGTCATAGGGAAAAAGGAACAATTTTCGTAGATTCAATAGACATAACTGTTCTCCAATCAGTCCTTTTCTTGAGAATGGCCCTGATTTTTCGCCAAATGAAGCTGCTCAGAAGTTTTCTTGTTGCAAGTTCACAGAAATGTAGTTAACGACAGTTTCAAATCCAAATTTTGTCTGTTTTATTGTGTTTCAGACGATCTCTTTTGATTGTTGTGAACAAAAATATTTCCAAAAATGAAATATTTTTCCATGACAATTGAGAAAAACGTGCAATGCTATCAGATAAAAAAATGCAAAATAATTTTTTGTTCCATTCATATTAAATTGTGTCCAACCTTGACCTGCAGAAGTTAAAAATTGACGATTCTACAAAGATTTCAATAAATGTCATTGAAGTGGAGGAAAATCACTTTTCTATAATAACGTATCACTTCAAAATGTTTATAGATTTCTTAAGTTGTTTAAACCATTAAGCATAGAATATATCAAGTAGAAAGTGAAAAACTAAAAAAAAATGTTTTAATATTTGTCAGCGAGTGTTTTAACAAGGCTAGTGTATATATATATAAAACCAGATTATTTTTCGACTAAACTTACATGAAAATAAGATAGTTTTCAACGATTTTTAAAACAAATTTTAATATTAAGTCTTATAAAGTAGTATCTGGGGTTTCCAAATGATATTAAACAACATTCCAAGTCAAAAACTATGTATTTTATGAACATTTTAAAAGAACAAAATGTCCAAACACGTCATTAAATTATAAAAGAGTTACAATTTTCAAAAACTCAATAAAACGTAGTTTTTTGAACTGTTCATTAATCGACCATTTTTGAAGGTATTTCAAAAAGTAATGACATTTTAGAATAAGTATAAAATATAGAAAATGAAAATAAAAATTAATTTTTTTTGATCAGTTCTCAGGGTATGTTAGTGAGCTGCAAGTGCGCATGAATAAAATCGATGATTTTGGGGCTAAGACTGCTTACAAAACTATGATTTTTCAAAATATTCAGCATAACTTGGTTTTATCTATTAGATCATTATCTGGGATTTCCAAAATGATATAAGACATTATTCTCAGTCAAAAACTTTGGATTTTATATAAGTTTTAAGAAATAAAATCAATAAAGTTCAAAAATGGCCAAAAAATCACGTTTTTTCCGACGGCACCGGGAAAAATGGTTAAAAATAAAAAATATTTTGGATTTTCTTAGTTTCATATATATCTATTCAAAAGAAAAAGTGCACCCCTGAACAATTTTTACAGATAAAACCAAGTTATACTGAATATTTTGAAATATCATAGTTTTATAAGCAGTTTTAGCCCCAAAATCATCGATTTTATTGATGCGCACTTGCAGCTCACTAACATACCCTGAGAACTGAAAAAAAATAATTCTTATTTTCATTTTCTATATTTTATACTTATTCCAAAATGTCATTACTTTTTGAAATACCTTCAAAAATGGTCGATTAATAAACAGTTCAAAAAACTACGTTTTATTGAGTTTTTTGAAAATTGTAACTCTTTTATAATAAAATGACGTGTTTGGACATTTTGAACTTGTTCTTTTAAAATGTTCATAAAATGCATAGTTTTAGACTTGGAATGTTGCTTAATATCATTTGGAAACCCCAGATACTACTTCACAAGACTTAAAATTAAAATTTGTTTTAAAAATTGTTGAAAACTATTTTATTTTCATGTAAGTTTAGTCGAAAAATAATCTGGTTTTTTACTATACAATATCCTTGTCAAAACACTCGCTGACATATATTAAAACATTTTTTTTAGTTTTTCACTATCAATTTGATATATTCTATGCTTAATGATTTAGACAACTTAAGAAATCTATAAATCTATAAAGTGATATGTTATTCAAGAAAAGTGATTTTCCTCCACTTCAATGACATTTATTGAAATAAGTGTAGAATCGTCAATTTTTAACTTCTGCAGGTCAAGGTTGGGCACAATTTAATATCAAATTATTTTGCAATTTTGCTTTCAGCCTATACCCCCTTTTATTTTTCCTTTACAGTCCCTGTAAGATTAAGGTTGGACACAATTTAAAGAGCCTAAATATCAAGCTATAAGTTAAACATGATTAATGGAACAAAAAATTATATTACATTTTATTAATCTCAGCATTGCACGATTTTCTTGATTGTCATTCAAAAATATTTAATTTTTGAAAGTATTTAATTTTTGAAAGTATTTCTGTGCACAACAATCAAAAGAGATCCTCTGGAACACAATAAAACAGACAAAATTTGGATTTGAATCTGCTGTTTTATCTCTGTGATGGACCATACGTATCAGACAATGAGGAGGATTTGTTGTTGCTGCATATATTCTTAACCCTATTCCCGCTGGGGGGGGGTCAATTTGACCCCCCCCTGTAGTTTTTTTTACATAACTCAAAAAGTATTGGTCTGAGGCTGTTGAAATTTTCTGACTTTTCTTACATACCCAAAGCCCTCCCTTTAGGCCTAAAACCGGGCTTTAATACTAACTGCCTGAGTCCTCAGGCACACTGCCTGAATGACTGCTTTTGCC